TCTGTTTCTTCGCCGCTCCTTGTGTGTTGATGAAATCACAAACAAATCTAGCCTCGTGAGGCGATTTCGGCACGCGTGTAGTCCACGACTCGCAGTTGATTACGTCCAGTTGCAACACGAGCGAGAGCTTGGTGTGGTCTGAGGAACCTTTGTGTAGTTTCGAAATATTTCTCTGGAAATATGCGATCCACTCACTTGCATGCCTTGCAAGTGACATGACGAGATCCTCCGCCCCGGAATCAAACGGCAAGGGATTCACCCACTTCACTTCCGGCTTCAAATCCAGCTTCCCATCCTCGCCCACCTTCGCGTCCTCGCTGCAGAGGCACTCAAAAATGGCCGGGAAGTAAAACGTGGAAGGTTGGGTGTTGCTATATCTGTATCCAAGCCTCGTGCTGTATTCTTCTATGCACTTGGCCTCCCCCTCGGCTCTCAATCTATTGAAACAAGACGATCCCTCAACCTCAGCACCCTGCACGAACTTCGACGGACCCACGACGGACAGCACCTGTAAGCATTTCCGCTTCACATCGACTCGGTAAGCAAAATCTGGATAGTAAGCATTGATGGAACGGCGAGGGCTGTAACGCGATACGGTGCAAATCGGGGACGGTCGTCGCAAATCCCGCGTCACCACTTGACATGCCCCCGCTCCTTTGTCCGCCCCCATCCTCGTTAAAAACCCTGTCAAAAGAAACCAAACCTAGCAACAATTCTGCAAACGAGCACTCTCCTCCTCGAACGAACCCTTTCCTGAGCATACTAACCTAGCTTCGCCATGGCTAGACCACCGTGGACGCGGTCAGAACTCCGTCCTACACACCCTTTCTAGGAAACCCTTAAGATCCACGACAACTCTAGACAATAGCGGTGGGACACCAACAACAACACCACCATCACCCAACGCACCCGCTCTCACGCGTCTAAAAATAAACCCTCTGCTCGCTAAGAATCCATCACCAGCGTAGCTCTACCGCCACAACCACAGCCACCTTCATGAAGATGCCGCAAGGGCATAACCGAGTGCAACCCCAAGTCCAAATAGGGAACAGAAAGCCTGGGGCATCGAACATCAGCCAGCATGAATGAATGGGTAGTGTAGCATCGTCGGAGTAGTGCAGCAGAGCAGGATCGCGGGCTGCCTCCCTGGATTCCGCAAGCAATCAATTACCACCACCATTTCCTCGTTTGTTTGTTTATTTGTTTCTAGCAAGCCTAGCTCACTTACTTACTTGCTATGGTTGGCTAGGCCTAGATAGGCTGGCTGGATGAGAGTTGCTACCATTGTACTATTGTAGTAGTAGCAGTAGTCCCAGTAGTCTCAGTCCCAGTCAGTCGCACGAGGCCACCAGTGGGAGCGTCAAGTTTGACCTCCCCTCCGTGCAACTCTACACGAAGCTTCCCCCCCTTCTCACCACCACGCAGTTGGCGTGCCTCCCTCCCTTCTGTAGACCGCGTCACCGAGCCTTTCCCTCAGGATGAATGTACATATATGTTCATCCCCTTCTCTCCAGCCTTCTTTTCATCCATCCATGTGTGCACCCTACTACCCTTATCTCATCCAGCTCATGTGTACATTTGGACTTACAAGTTCTGTATTGTGCTCGTTCAAATTCGTATTCATACGAAGCTTGCCAAAACATTTCATACATTAATCTGGATGTCTGTGTGTGTGTGTGTGTGTGTGTGTATATATATATATATATATATATATATATTACGTCTCCATGGAATTATGTTAGTTATGTCTTTCATAAAATACTGTGTGGAGGTGTGTAAAAATGTGTTGGAACTGTAGAACTGCATGTGGTTTTCTTTTTTATTGAACTTTATTTGGGATTTAAAAGAAAAAATAAGAAAATATTTTAATTTTATTTTGAAAATCATAATCGTTTTTTTTATTATTTAAAAAAAGCATCAAGTACCAGGAATTTGATAACATGAGTTTTCTTAATATATGTTTTTCGAATCAATTCTTAATTTCGTAAAATCATGAGGTTTATTCCATATGGAATGAAAGACTAAATATATAGACATTACCATAAAAATTTCAAAGATAATAACAGAACCTTTATTTTGCATCAACATACTTTATTTTTATGGTTAATAGCTTTTGTAAGTTCATAGATTGTGTCTGCACCTCAGTTTCTTTAAGTTTTACACAGTAATTGCATGATATCACTCAAGCCAATTATTTCACGTAGAAACAAAAACAAATATGACATATATGTATACACATACACATATATACATAATCCCTTAACCACCATTCCCAATACAACAGTGGTCAGTATATACACATCCACATATACACAAAAACCAAAAACCAAGAACCATTATAGTCAAACATAAAAAAAATCCTTAATTTATAGTCAGACACTCAAAGAAAAGAAAGAGATACTATCATAATAATAAAATTATTATTATTATTATTATTATTATTGACTTTTAACTCTTTGTACTATTATAACTTATCATATATATATATATATATATATAGTAGAAAAGTCTATGACAAACAGTTGAACATACATCAATCAATAAGTATTTGTCTTATTAAAAATTTGCAAACAAACAATATGATTATGATCACAGAACTTGCTTAGATTGTAACTTTAAGAAAATAAATTCACCAAAATATTTATTTATGAGCTACATATGTCTTCTATCCATAACAGTATTTTAATTTGTAATCGCATAAAACATGGAATACAACTTCTATTTTGTTACTTACATTGTTCTAAGGTTAGTATAAAATTAAGTCAATGCATATGTATCTAGAAATATTTGTTACATTACTGCCAAAGTCTAATTGCTTTTAAACACCAATATGGTAATATTGGTACCAAAGGATGACACATGCCTAACTATGTGTGTCAAAAACTTCTAAAATATCACAACTTTAAATGGTAAAACCAACTCTTGTATACATAGAGAGATAATATTTTCAAAAATTTAGTTTACAAATGATAAAAAACTATACATGCTTTTTAAATTAATTATTTAAAATAGTTATAATATTTTTTAGTTTTAATAGTAGAATATCACAAATAATATTAAAATTAATTTTTATTTTTTTCAATTAAAAATTAATAAAATTTCAAATTGGTTACCAACTACCACAAGTTCTAGTATTATTAGAATAATAAATTTAATATTTTTTCTGTTAATATAGCTTCGTACGATGATTTTGAAGCGTGATTACTGAAATGCATATAGTTGGTTTAAATTTATTAACTAAGCCAAGATCAAAATTCTTTCAAGAAGGATTGAAAATATCTTATAAAATATTTATTCTACAAATTAGAGCCCAAGATCAAAAATTTGTCTCATAAATGTTATATGTATTACAATAAAATTTAAAGTACATAATTGTATCTCTTTAAAAAAATAATTACAAAATATTGCCATTTATTATAAATAGACATAAATAAAATACGTACTAATAGGTATCTATTTTTATAGATTAGATTTATTAGTATAAATTCATATGTCTATAAATTTTATTTGGGTCTATTTTATTTTTAAGACAAAGTCATGATACTTTTAAAGATTAATAGATCTAATCCACATACTTACATATATTGTACAAATATATGCAAGTATATAACTTTTTTTTAAATCCAAATATATATTTTTTTAATATGTTAAAAATAAACTATACCAAAAAATACTAAGATTTGAGCAAATATAATCAAATTGATTCTAGTAATTTTTTTACATATAAGATGAGATATTAAAAGATGTAATTATATATATATATATATATATATATATATATTGTAACTCCAGTATTAAGACTTACTAATATACACTCAATAGCTATTAATAATCTTCTAAGTATTAGATTGAAGAGATCGAATCTGTAAAGTTTGGTTGTTTACTCGATTTAAATAAAAGACATAGATTGTGTTCTCTCTTTGTGTAATCTTTTAGTGTTATTGAACGGAACATAAAACAATGTAAAGTGCTTTGAGTTGGTATTAAAGACAATCATGTAACAGATTTAAGCTGTACTCAATAATAAAATATAAATAGTGTAATATGTTTTGTTTTATAAACATAATAGTGTAAATTATAACTACAAACAAAAAGAATGTAATATTTTGAACTTTAATCTAGTAGAGAAAGTATTAAAAATCATGCATAACTTAACTTTTACATATAAAAGAAAGTTAAGATGGTTGAGGAATAAAAAAATTATCTTGATTTTACATTGTATCAAAGGCGTCTGTAACAATAATGAGTCAATAAATACTTAGTTATTTTAAACAACAAGGTGTCATTTTCTTTTTGAAAGTGTCAAACACCTTTATTAGAAATTTAGTTGTCTACTTTTGCATGTTTTTGGATACAAACAAGGATACTCATAGCATAACATGTGCTCTAAGAACATCAAAAGCATTTATCATTGTTAAACTTATCAGGGTTTAGTAAACAAAAGGTCAATAGAGAAACTTAGAAATCCGAGCCCAAATATCTGCCAAAACCAGTGCTCTCTAGTTTGGTATGCACATTCTAAGCCACAAAATATGAAAGAGTGAGGTTATTTGTTATTTTTTATTAATTTTTTGATATTCTTCAACACCTATGGGGTACAGATCAGAAAAAGAATTATCAGCATGGATGGAAACCTGCTGCATTAGATTGGATTAAAAAAAAACATACGCCTCTTAAGTACTAATATTCAAGGAACTGAGCCAGACTAGGATCATCTCATATGAAATCCCCTACTCCCCATCCAGATCGTGAATCACTAAACCCCACTGAGGAACTCTCGGTGTTCCATATAATATTCATTCACAAAATGAGAAGTTTAAAGCATTCAATAACGTGAAGAAAAAAACGGTACTTGCTAATACCACTGTATGTGTAAGTGCAAATGTAAGTATGTATGTGGGGAGTATACATTCACTGATTTGGTGATACAACCACTACAATGTACCCAAACGCGGAGAAAGAGGTGCAACGATCACTAACGGAGCCTCTGGGATGAACATCCACACAGGGTTCAACAGCCAGGTACTGTGTGTGTGAGAGAGAGAGCAGGACGCTGGGAGGTTGGCAAGCAAGCCACAGAGACGGAGATATGAAGCGAGGGTGTGGACACACTGGAGCACGGGGGGTAGCGAAGAAGAAGAGGGTAGCAGTGTGGGTGCGGGCATTGTCGACTAATGTATGCATGCATGCATGCATGTCTGCCTGCTTGTGATGGGGGAGGGGGGGAGAGCGTGCAGCCATTGCTTTCCAAGTGCTTCTGAAGGGGAACAGCAGGAGTAGCAGTATCCAGGGGGGCGGGGATGTGGGTGAGCATCATCCTAGCGATTAGTTGTAGTGAACCAGGACGGTGGTGGACTATGCCAGCAGAGTCGGGCGCCTTGTTGTGCAGTTGGGTTCTCTCTCTTTCCTCCCTCTCTCTCTCTCTCTCTCTCTCTCTCATGGTGCGGGTGAAAGTCTGAAGCTGCGGTGCCACTTTGTGCTGTGGTGTGGAGCCTGGTGGGTGAGATTTCAGAGCCTCTGTCACCACTGTCTCCACCACTGTCTCCATGTCGCAGCAACTCCTTCTGTCGCTGGTGCTGCTCTCTCCGTCCCCCTCCTTCCTCATTCCGAGTTGCTCCTTGATTGGGATCGAATTTTTAGGAACCGACATTTTAGGGGATGGGGGGTGCGAAGATTCATGCAGTAGATAGTTTGTTTGGTAAATCAGGGAGGAAGGCGATTAGCTTTTCGTTTGTTCGTTTGTTTGTTGATTTTTTTTATAATTTTTTCCCCTCCTCTCTTCCCCCTCCTTTATCTTTTACCCGGGCAGGTCTCAGACTCTATGCATGTGACATTGTAGAGACTGGCTGCAGATTCTCCGAGGCGGGTGGATGTGGATATGGCACACTCATCATGCAGGCCTAAACTTTCCCTTTCGCAAAAGATGTACAAGGAAAGGGGCTTGCCGCAACCTTTACCTCTCTTCTCGCTTCTACCTCCTTTCCCTCTATCTGTGTGAATATGGACATTGATTTCTAGGTCCTGTCTCTGAATGTGCCCTTTTTCTTCCTCTGTGGATACTTGCTAGTCCCTCCCTCTTGTTCCTGTTTTTCTTCCACCAAAAGTGTTTTTATTGCCAGCGCAGCCCTTTTAATCCTCGGAGGCTGGTTTGGCTCTGAAGTTACGGTCTTTGCTGTCCCCAGCTCGTTGTTTGGTGCTTGGATTGCATTTAGAAATACCTATATGCAGTTCCCGTGGCTGAATCTGTATCCCTAATCTTGTCGAGCTTAGTTCTTATCGCCGCTAGGATTTGCAATTCTTTTTGTTACACTGTAATTCATCCTGGCGTTGCTGGATTGTGCCTCGCCCTGCCACCCTTGGCTTGTGAATGCATTGCTGCGGGAATACGGCGGATGCTATTCCGCATCCAATCTTGGAGCTCGCCACGTGATTCACCTTGACTCGTGAACATGGGTTGTGTAGGATCGAAGGCAGTCAAAGGTTCAGATAGTAAGCTTCCTGATCCCTTCTTCTCAATGATAAGTTGTAGTCTTTGCTTACAAATTTCTTGAATTTTTTTGCGAACATCCTTCATGAATGTGCACACTCTGCGATTCATTCCGGATGTTTTTGTGCTGTAATAATTCAGTCCTTCCTGTGCCTTTACATGGCGTCCTCGTTGCAACCAAGGATTGAACTCTCCTGGGCATCTCTTGTCACAAAGATATTGCCACCCGCGTCATCTCACGAAAGCATATTTGAAAGATTTTATGATGAGTCGAAAACAACCTGCACGAGTGGTAACCAGGGTTTCTGTTCCGTGGATTACGCCGTACCATATGTCATTATTGTGATGAATCTTGATGTACGGGACGACATGCTCTAAATTTCAGTACATATCACATCGGAAATGGAAACGAAAGATTAGGGCAGACCTGGTCCCTTAATGTCGTCTGACATTGCAGGTGCATGCATGAGATGCATATCTGTGACCCTCAGAGCCCCTTCTGACGCGCGTGCTTAGTACGGCTGCGTCTGTCACAAGGGTGGGTAGAAACTGGTCGCAACTTGCCAAGTGGAGCACCTGGCGTCTCAGCCTCAACTGAGTACTGAGCACTGGGTTTCAACTTTAGTGCTACTTGCACTAACCTTGCAATAACTATAGTTTGGTGTGCTACGGATTTCGTTTTAGGATTTCTGATACCGAAAACGTCAGAGAGCCTGGACTGTGAGCCAGTGCAACTCGTCCCCAGACCCAAGAGCATGCTACTGGAGAGGATGGGGTGGACAACGCTTCTGAGATGCTGTTTCGTGTTTTTCTGGCAGGACATCAAAAGAAGGTAAAAAGGCCAAAGCCGTGGAAACACATTGAGGCTATTACTCGTACACAGTTGAAGCAGATGAGAGACGAGTTTTGGGATACAGCTCCTCACTATGGCGGAAAAAAGGGTACACTCTCCTATGCCTCTCAAAATTATTCCGCGAAAAATGTATTTCTCATCTTTGGTGCATCTTGTCAACTACAAACTTCGCAATGACCCGATGTGTGGATGTGCAGAAATCTGGGATGCTCTCAGAGCCGCCGCGGAAGCCGACATTAATCTGGCGCAATTAATTGTTGATAGTGCCGGCATTATCGTTCAGTCTGAAGATTTGTCTACGTGTTATGATGAAAGAGGTCACCTTTGCACCTTATGAATCTCTTTTTTATTTCCACGAGTGATGTATCTTGTGAGACGGTTATGCAGCTTACCTTCGTCATGCTTGAGGAGAGAGAGAGAGATGTAATACTTCTAATGTCCTAAGATTGAAATGGCTTCATGTTGCAATGGTGGCTCAAAACACAAGGATTCCATCCCTATCATCTTTGATAGACATTTTTCAGGTAGCCTGTACAGTCTTTGGATTTAGGCCATGCTGATTTTTTCAGTGCATGCGAAACAGGTGCTAAGTATGACTTGCCCAAGTATGTATTAAGCGAGCCAACAAACATCATCAAAGAGGACTAGCACACTGGTCCTGTTGCTCCTACAAGAACATTTTGAACAGCGGCCGATGGATGCGTCTGTAAGGAGCCGCGCAAGTTCAATACCAACATGCTATATGTGTGCGATTTCAACAATTGGAATCGAATTGCCCATTTGACTGCATTGTTGTAGCATATCTTTGTGTAGATACCTGTGGAGAGCTCGTAGCATGTGAGCACTGTATTATTCTTCAGTCCAATCTGTTCTGGTTGCATACAACACGGTTAACTCGATGTTTGTAGACAGGTTTACCCTCTACACTGCATGATGCAACCCCATAATGTTCATATTCCATGGGGTTGAAGATGTAGAGCTGCCACTCCATCCTTGACTAAGGAAATCGTGGCAGTAACCGTAGGGAGCTCCACTTGCGTCACTTGCGCCATCCTTCCTTTTGTATGAAAATAGTTCTGCGGGATAGTGAAGTTAGCTTTGGCGAATTCCAGCCGTGTGTCCACATTGTGGCTGATTTGTATTCTGCATGCCCTAGGTCTCTCTTTGCTAGATCCGAGTAGCTCACTATATTGTTGTGCATGTGTAAGAGGTTTCAAGGTTGAGTCAAAATGTGATGTGTTCGTTAGGGTTTGACGAATCTTGTGAATAAGGCGGAGGATAATCCTCTGAGAAATTGGTAATGAAATAGAGGTCATGAATCTTATTTAGAGAATACATCTTGCTAGGAGGTTAATTCTCTAATCCTCCCTTCCCTTTTCTTCAATCAAAATAGTTAAAAGAAGAAAACCAGTAAAAGGTGGTTATTGTGTTCATTTGTTTATTTTTCTTTTTTCTTTCTTTCTCTCTGTGGGAGGTGGAGCAGGTGGATAAGTGTGGTACAATTGTCTTTCAACCCACTTGGGTATAGATCTGGTTGTAGGGAAGGACAGCAGATTGAGGTTGAGTTTGGCAATATTGTATTGTAGGCTTGAGCTTGGCCAAGGCATTTGAAGTATGCAATGTGGAGGCACTTAATAGCATACTCATAATAGTTAAAGAGATTTTAACCACTATGAATTGAAGAGTGTCTTGACTAAGAAAGTTGGCAGAAAGGGGTTAGTGGCACTTTGCTCATGCAACTTGATCATGATATCTTTTTTTTAGTAGGAGCAATGAAGTATTCAATAAATATTTTAGAACAAGGTTGTCTTTAATATGACAATTTTTTAGTATAAGTCCTTATCTTATGCACACCACTTTCAAACTTGTATTTTAAATAAGAATTTTGTATGAAAGTAGCATCAAGATGTAAGCAAACTTTTCTACTATTATAGAACAACAATGTTTTATAAAACATTTTTTCAACAAAAGCATCAACCTTGGCCAATGCTTCTCTTATCAATATGAATAAATTTATTAGTTTTTGTTGGCTAAGTTTTCAACCTACCAATCAACTACAAACATGTATAAAGTCAAATCTGCATTTATGAAGCTTCTAAGAAGGGATCCCACAAGATATTATATCTATATTTATCTTCTACCTACTACTTCTTATCTAGGTAATTTATATATGTTTGTGACACTCTTGTCAATTCCTTTCTTGTTCTTAGTCTTGTTTTAGAATCTTTAGTCTTCTTGTTTTTGGCAATGTCCATTTTATTCTTAATATTATACCATCTTTGAGTAATTATCTACTATTTTATAATGATATAAGAATAAATTGATCCTTTGGTTTTTTGTAATTTATATCCTTGACACATTGTTATCTTTGATTATTTGGTTTGAAATACATTATGATTGAAATACAATAAAAACAATATTTGAGTGATTTCATAAAAACTCATAGTATAACCATTAGCATAGTTGTTAACAAGACCCATTCTTCATGAAACCATTAGCTTAGTTGAAATAAGATTTGTTTAATTTTTGTGATTATATTTGGTAGCTATTTACTATGCTATTATAAATGTAGCAAATTTACTTTACAATATCAATACAACATATAACTCAATCATGGAATTTACTCAAACTTTAATACTATTATTTTTTTAGGTAGTTTTTAAGTAATATTTTTAAAATAATTGATTATTATATTATTATTATATTTAATTTTAATTCATATATATATATATATATATATATATATATATATTTATATTTTAAATATTTTAAAAGATTTGTCATGATTAGATTTTATACTTGTATAAATTTTCTTGTGATTGAAATATATATATATATATATAGAAAGAGAGAGAGCAAAAAAAAGAAAAAAAGAAAAAAGGATTTTAGCTATATATGAATATTTTATATTTATATATTCTGATATATTTATATATTTATAATTTAATATAAGATTTTTTTTAAAAGATTAAAGATATATTTTTATTGTAATATTTTTATTTATAAAATTAATTTCATTGCTAAGATTTTTCTTTGTAAAGATTAAATTATAAGATACACATGCATATATTTTCTTACATTATGGTTTTAAGACAATTTTTCATTTTTATTATTTAAGATATTTAATATTATTTTTTAATATTATATAATTTCCATAGTAATATCTATTATATTAAAGAAAAAATTCGAAATTAAATTAAAATTTATAATTTGTAAAGTTTTAGAAAAGAAAAGCATACTAGTTAAATTTTTCAAAATAGTTATTTGATGAATAAAAACATAAAATATTGGGTTTAATTATTATTTTTATGAATCAATGTAAAGTAAAAAAGATATTATCATATCTTATGCTTATATCAAATCATAAAACTAATGATATGTAGCTAAAGTAGCATACTTCTAGCCAATTATTGTCTTAGATTTAAATGAAAATAGAAAATTCTATTTAACATTAAAAAATATTTTAAACATATATATGTATGTATATATATATATATATGATTTTATGAAAAAATCAAGAAGTTTTGATATATTGTAAACTTTACATGTATGTCAATTAGAAGCATTGAATAATTATAGTTTTTATATATATATATATATATATATATAATTTTTTTCTAATAAATTATTTATTAGATTAATTAGAAAATATTTCATAATTTCATTAATTTTTAAAATATTTAATCACTATGTAAACTACTTTTCTAATCAAAATTTATATAAAATTACAAGGTGTACAAATTATGGTTTTGCAAGTTATAAGAGATATGATTAAAGTTGCATGATGTCTTATTAATTATTTAACTCTTATAATAACCATTTTAAAGGTATAGACACATGATTTAGTAATTATCTATATTGGGGTATAGTGGTGTATTAAAAAACATTTAAAGTTGACAACAAACATATAAATTGAATTTTTAAAGAATCAAACTAAAAATATACTTTCAAGGGAACTAACATGGATCCTTTTAGAGTTTGTTACAAGGGATGATATCAAGCCAAATACAAAGAAAGTGAAGGTAATCAAAAGATTGAAGTTTCCAAATGTACAAAAAAGACCTCAAACTTTTATGCTTAACCAATGAGGTTTGTTCATAAATTTCATATCATTTCCAATTTTTTGAAAATGAATCCAAACTTGAGTTTGGGAACAGATGTACATATATTTCCAAATTGTTATCACTACTTGTATTATGTGAACTAAAAGTCTCCGGAAAGGCTGTAAGAAAGAATGAAGTGTATCTAGATAACACTTGGTAACATGGTTATTCCATGACCACCGGTAACGATCACAGCCTCATCCTAAATCCATAACCACATTGTCATATGGCAGGGCTGGGCAGGGCAAAGCTTGGTAGACCCCAAATGGTATTGAGAAAGGGGGCCATGTTGATATACCCAGGGGCTGGAAGGGCGAATGTATGCTACAACTGAGCCGCAAAGGGCAATATAAATGAATAACAAAGCGAAGAAACCCCCACTCCACTCCACTGTCCTTGTTAGTATTTGACACTGGGGGTCCGGGAGACCGCGGAAGCCATGTGGCGTTGGAAGACAGGGAGGATGGCCTGAACTCGGCACTCCCACAGCAGCCTCACTATCTCATCGAATGTGGGGCGGTCATCAGGATCCGTCGCCCAGCACTTATTGATGAGGCCCTTGAGGATTTCAGGGATGTCTTGCTTCTCCGGGAATGGAGGCCTCTCCCCCCTCATCACCTTCTCATGAATGGACCCGTTTGGGCAACCTATGAACGGGAGCAACCCCGTCAAGATTTCATAGCACGTCATTGCGAAGCTATAGACATCTGCTGGCCACTTGTATTCTGGAGCAACCTCCGTATCCTGGACATGGAACACCTCTGGTGCCCTCCACCCTGTGGTTCCAGCCATGCGCGTGGTCACCCACGATACTTCGGGTCGGCATTTCGCGAGCCCGAAATCAGAAAGCTTGGCCACATAAGTGTCCTGAGAGCTGGGAAGGACCGTTGAATGCTGCATCAAACTCTTACTTGACTCTCTCCCTGGATTAGTGTTAAGGGGTTTGCAGATGTTTACCAGTATATTCTTGGCTTTTAGGTCCCTATGCAGAACCTTAAGATCCCTCAAATGCTTCATGGCTTGTGCAATCTGTAAGATGATGTCCAGCGCCACAATTGTAGGGAACGGGCATGAACCCGGTCCAAGTTCTCGAATGCGATTGTCGATCACGGTGCGCAGGTCATGGTCCATCAATTCCATCACTAACAACCCGGTTCTGTTTTTATCTATAAAACCAAACCCAATGAGACGTACCACATTTGGGTGTTGGACAGTTGCTAAAATCGCGGCCTCCTCCTCGAACTTACTCCGGTCCAACGCCGGGCTCCTCACACTTTTCACGGCTACCTGCTCCCCAAGCCAAGTGGACTTAGCCACCATGCCTGAACTCCCCGAGTCCAAATACTCTTTGAACTTCAAGGTTGAAGGCTCCACATTGAACGAAGATGGGAGATAGCTTGATTGCGGTGTTGGACCCGCCAACTTTAGACTTAAAAAATTCGCTAAAGCCCCACTATATTTCGCTTTTGACAATAGCCTGGCAAACTTCCATGGTTCATCATTCTCCGTTCGTGTCATTTCTACGAGCTGCCGTGTCAGCTCAATTCGATCCTTATCCTCCAGTACTTTGCAAACGTCGAGCACGGACTTTCCTTCTTGCCTCTCTTGCTTGCCGGGGATTTGCAAGACCATCCTACTTTTCTCCTCGGACCATTTGAACGAGACATCTTTCAGAGTGAATCCGGGGTCAGCAAGGAGCTTCTCCAATGTGTAGAAAGCAAGCTCAACTAAGTCCATCCACCATTCACAATTTTGAATGGTGAGGGAAAATTCTGACCACCTTCTGGTCGAAGTTGGAGGAGGTACATCACAAAGCCTCAGAGCCGATTTATGCATATCTTGACTGGCACACATTTTGAAGAGATCAACAACTGATTGGAACTTTCGCGCGAGCCCAAGGAGTGACTCGTAACAGAAATTAGCGCAATTACGTTTTTTTTCGGAGTTTCCTATTCCTTGAACAAGGAGATTACTTAATGCCAGACTGTACCGGTCAAAGTTGTTAATCGCAACAGGTTCCAATGTTTCCACCAGATAATTGCACTGATGGCGATATATTTTAACAACTGCGAGCATATTCTTGAACTCTTGGAGTTTTGTTGTGCATACATCCAGTGCAGTGGTCAGTGACTCTACATGCTCGCCCTTCATAAACCTCTGCTCAGACAAGTACAGTGGTAGTTCGTGGGCTTCATCTTCCTGAAGAATAGGTATGAGCTCATGGTCATCCCGCACAACATGTCGATCTTCTTCATCTAAAGCATCCGTCAATTCCTCCAGTGCCTGCTGGTAGTCCTTGAGCATGCTTTTCAGTTTGCTTCTTTCCAGCATAGTTAAAGCAGAATTCGGGTCTCGCTGGTTCGCGCCGATTAGTTCTGTTAGGAAGGAGTCGTAATCCTCTACCTGCTTTTGTAAATTCTCATCAAGGGAGGTGTTCAAAGTCCTCAAATCTTGGATATAATCCGTGAGCATACGGATTGCAGTACCTCTGTGATAGGAATGAAGAGGACCTGAGCGCGTCTCTCTTGGCCTTCTCTCACTGGACTCCTGATGTTCCCTACTACTGCTGCCGCGTTCCACTCCGGGCGCACTCAAATTGAGTTCGTTCAGATCTTTTTCGACCTTCTCTAGGAGTTCGATGGGGTCTTTGATGGCGCCTTTAGCTTTGACATTTGTTGAGTTACCGTCTTCCATTCTGAAGCTGTCACGTTTGGCTGGTTTTAGGCCGCATACAATAGGGGTCCTCAAATATTTCTACTTAGATAGTGTTCAAGAATTTATGAAGGACAAAAACCTAGTCCATCTAATTTCCACAAAGATGCCCCTAAATCTCTCCCTTCAGATTCAGGCACAAGTTTTAAATCCCTCCAGTCACCAAAATCACATGCTTGTGGTACCCAGGGAAAGAAAAGTACCGAGAGTTGCTTTGTCGTAAACTCTTATGGCCAGACAGGTGACTAGGTTCCCATATTTGTTCCAAAATATAGTCGACGCTGTCAATTGGTCCGAATTAGTAAGAAGGGCTCTGTGTTCAACTACGACGTGATACAAAAACAATGACGAAGATTCGAAGGACGGATCCCCGACAAGATGTCGAGTTCCCGCAGAAGCTCCGATTGCATTTAGACTGAGAGCAAAGGAAAACACACAGGATTCAGCTTTCAAGGAGCTGGATGCCTCACCAACGCCAACGCATTAGTACCTTCCTGGATAAATGCGCCAAGAAATGAGTCGTGCACCCGCTCTCTGTGAGTCCCCTTAGCAGTATCGCATGAGTACAATTGCTCAATGTAACGTCCAGTATTTTGCAGGGCCTCCAGAGAGATTGGAGGGGGCTTTGACGAAACAATGGTGGCGTGTGTCGCGATCAAGGGTTGAGCTATTACCACCTGTTGCCTTTTTCTCTTTCCGCTTACTACGCCCTATATTGCAGCCACTCATTAGGTGCCTCCATCTCCAAGTTGTCTGAGTTTTTGCGAATAAAATAGTAATAAAATCACAACACTCAACGTGGCCAGCTTCTACTGCTTAATATTCATAATCGGTAGCATATTACGTCCAGAGCCTAGTCCTCCGGCATTGGATTCCAGCGCATGAAATACGCCACGAATTGGTCGAACCATGTGGAAAGTCTAGATCGCCATCCAGTTCCAAGTCCAGACCAATGCCGTGAACGACCAGCATTGGAAGCTCAGACTGTTTTAAATGTGTTACGCTATTCCTAATCATGAGAAATCCACCACCATCAGGAAATCATCGTTGGAACGACGCGAATAGGTTGTCAGTCGACGCCAGAGTATCGTGCAGGCTCCACGGTCAATGATAATCATCAGTTGACTGTCCCGTGCAGGCCCTGTCTGGGGGCGACAAGAGGAGTGGCGTGGAACGAGGGAGACATTACAGGCCAAATTAGGATTGACGAGGGGGGCCGAGCGAGGCTGCCACCACGATGGATCGTCACTGAAGGGGCACTCAGAGGAGGGAGCGGGATTCACTCGCGCTCTGAGCAGGGTCAGTCGGATTGCGTGGTGCGCGTCCCGGCGATGGAGCTCGCGCTGGAGAGAGGGAGGGAGGGAGGGAGGGAGGGAGGAAATGTGGGAGAATCCTCGTGACGCGCACCCGCATCTTAACACCGCCTCGTCACGTTTGCCGCGTCCCCTTCCGTGACGCAGCATGCGCGCCTGTGCAGTGTAATCCCCACCGCGTGGCTCACTTGGTTTTAAACACAATATATTCTTTTCTACAGAAAAATTTGAAAGAACAATAATTCACCATTCGAAATTTTTTCTTTTTTGGACATTTTTATTTATTTATTTATTTATTTATTTATTTATTTATTTATTTTTGAATTGTATGATTTATGTGAAGGTAGAAATGTTAAAAAAATCTAAAAAAATGAAATCATTTTGTTATTGGCACAAATGAATATATTTTTTGTTGCATAGATAAAAGGTATAAAATAAGAATTATACACCATTGTTTCAAAACTCTATATAAAAAGAAAATTAAAAACTATAATTATATATATACTTAAATATATATTGATTTTTTTACTTAATTTTCTTTAAAAAACTAAAAGAACATTCAAAACTAAACATTCATAAGAAATCTTAAAATGCCATCTAATCTTTAATTCTATTTTAAAAAATTATATATCTTTGGTTATATATATTAAATCCTATTTTATAGAAAATTCATAATTTTCTTCTTATTTTCTAATATTTTATAAGAATATTCTTATATAGTTCTTTTTTAATCTATAATTTTTTTATTATATCAATTGTCTAGTTTTTTTAATACCCTATATATATATATATATATATATATATATATATTAATTTGGCAATATATAGCAATATAATTCTTTTGGTATTTTACATATACTTTTTAAACTTTTATTTTTTATAATTTAATATAAATAAACCATTATATTTAAAATTTTAAAAAGAATTTTGTGTGCCAAATTAAAAAAATTTATATGAGAAATAGTAATTCATGATAACAAAGATATATATACTAAGACAAATTTGTTTATGCCCTTCTAATTCTATTTTGGTGCTTAGATTTCAATCTTTATATTTTATTTAGTAAAATTGTCCTAATAAAGTTTGGTATTTATTAGCAAAGTATTAAAATTTTATTCTTGTATATGATAACACATATTATAAATAAAATCAAACTAGAATCTAAATATAACAAGTTATAGTAGTTGTATTAGGATTTGCAACTAATTGGAAATAATTTCTTAATATAATGTGAATATTAAAAAGCATTAGGCAAACCTAAATATTAAAATGACACTATGATTTAAATCCTAACACCACGTTCTAACATTAAAATTAAAGAATGAAGAAGATGAAAGACATAGAGAGGAGAAGAGAGAGAAGTATTAAAAGACATAGAGAATATATGTCTTTTGATGGTTTTTTATTTTCAAAGTATTAAATTATGATTTTATGTAGTAATTAAGATATTCTTAGATTATAAGAGTAAAATAAAATAAATTCTAATATATTTTATTATAAAATCAAAAAACTCAAGCATATTCTATCTTTTTTTAGTTAAGTATCATGATACAAATATTATGGTTTTTTTATTTTTTTATTTTTTCAAATTATATTAAATATATTATATACTATTTTTATATTTATTTCTTAATTTTTTTAAAATTTTGATTTATTAAAATATCTATCTATTTAAATATACACAATAAATATTTTTATATTTATAATTATTAATATTCTTATAATAAAAATTTGAGATAATTGCTAAATAATTTTTAGTTTTTATTGCTAATATTTATATTTTCTATTGTTGTTACTTTCTAATGAATGTATTTTAATAGAAATTATTAATAATTATATTTTTTTATTAGTATATTTCTATTTTAAACTTATAAATGAATTAAAAAAATATCATATATATTCTTCAAATATTTTAAAATATCAAGAATGTCCATGTATTATTAATAATAGCAAATATATCCCTCAAATTTGTAATAATAACAAATGTATCTTTGTTGATAATAAGTTATCATCAACATTCCTTGTTTAATTGTTATCTGGGGCCAAAACTACAAGTCGCACATATTTTGTCTTCTCTTTTTCAGCTTTTTGAAAATTGCAAATTTTTTGTTTCATTTTCTTTCGTTGATTTGTAGACTATGCCTTGTATTACATCTGGAATTGATCTTCCAATCTCAAAGCCATGACAATTATTCTAAACCATCTTTTTTGATTCACTACACATACTATAACTCACATTATTATTGGACTATCTTATGTACATGCACTACACTCTACAAGATTCTCCTTAGGTTGGACAAAGCCTTCTATCAATTATTGGTTTTTGCTCTTTAATTTCTAAGATAAACTTTACCAACCATGGATTAACAATAAACAAAGTACCTTACGCCATGTAAACAATTATTCTTATATTTATCTTGCCACTTATGATTCCAACCAAAAATTCAACACAAAAATTAATCTTCTCATCTCTTTTGGGTGGTTGTCCATATTTCTTTTACCTCCAATTAAATACTTCATAATATTTGTATATTCTAATAAGTGCTTTAAGCTTTTGTCATAACTTCTTTCTACTTCAGGTCTTACAAATACACTATATAAGAAATCAAAAAAAAAATTAAATATAAGAATTTTAATAAAAAAGCTAGTAAGAACATAATTAAATTAGATGAGTATAAGATCAATACCAAGATATGTGAGCTAGAGCTGCAAGAGATGTATTGTTGAGATTGAAGATCTTCTCAATTTCAAGTATAATATATATTAGGTGTCATAGATATACTATATGAAAGACCAAACAAGAAGTTGAATAGGAGAGTTTCAATAAGAAAGCTAACAAGAACTTGTTTAAATTAGATGAATACAGGATCAATACCAAGAGAGATGAACTAGAGCTCCAAAAGATGTGTTATTGAGACAAAAGATCCCTTCAAACTTGATTTTAATATATACTAGGTATTATAAAGCTTTTCAAGAAGTTCTCTTGTTGCTTAAAGATGAAACAATCTTAGGAAGCTTCTTGAGAAGTTCATGTACTGCTTGACGATGAAGCAATTTCAAGAAACTTCTTTGACAACTTTCTTAATCCTCTTAGAATTTTTTAGAATTTTTTAAAATATTCTAAGAACCTTCTAAAACCTTTTAAAATATTCTAAGAATATTTTAGAATCTTCTATTAGAATACTCTAAAAATATTCTATTAAAATAATTTAAAAATCTTCTATAATTTTTTAAACCCTAATAAAATTTTCTAAAAATATTTCCAAAATCTTTTCATTTGATATTTATAACATCACCTTTCTTTCTTATTCTAAGTTCTATAAGAAACATTGGTTCTATATTTTCTTTCTTTGTTATATACAACATCTTAGTATTAGCTTTATAGAGACACCATCTTAAAATGACTTTAGGTTTTTGAAGATAGCATCAATGAAACTCTTCTACCATTTGCGATGCATTAACTAGATTTTCTATTAGTTCCTACATATGTTCATTGATATCATAGCTATGCCAATAAATAAAATATTCCAACTTGCCTATTCTTTGTTGAGAATCAAGGATCTTTTCTACCTCATATTCCACATGATTATCTATTTCAATGCAACATAGTAATGGTTGTATTCTTTTTGAAATAGTTCATTTAGAATATGCCTATAAAAAAGAAACATAAAAGATTGGATGTACCTTCATAGATGTGGGAAGTTCAAACCAATAAGCTATTTAATTGATTTATTTTTGAATATAAAATGGTTCTAGTCTTTGATAGTCTAATTTATCATAAGGTCGCTCGATCTTGATATTTTGCCGAATAAGCCATATTTTATCTTTAACTTAAAAAGTAAGAAATTCCTTTCTAAATTTATTTAAAAATACTTTATAAAAATCTTGAATTACTTATAAATAGAGCTTTAAATTTTTTTAAAGTTGTAAAAATTATTTTGCAAGATCTTGTCTAAGATATAAATCTCAAAGAAAGAAAATCTTCAATACACTCTTGTATCATTAAAAAGAAAAAAAAATTCACTCAAAGATAATATGATATTGAACTAGAATGGCTATTGCTGAAAATAAAAAAGATTAGAAACTCTTAAAATAAGACTATAAACTAGAAAGGTATTGATAAGAATAAAGAAGGCTTCACTCTTGCCTCCATATATATATTTTTAACTAAGAGCTATTGGACCTCTAAAACATGTTGACTTTACAAGATACATATCTTAACTTTAAAACAAGTTTTTTTATATGTGTGCTACAAAATTAGATTGTTTTGTAAGCTACTAACACGTGATTAATTTGTTGACTAAGTTTCTAACCTATCAATAAACTACAAATACATGTAAAGTTAAAGAAACATCTATAAAGAATCTAAGAAGCTTCTTTAGAAGGTATTATTAGATTAATCTATTTTTATCTAATTTTACTTACTTCTACCTAATCATACTAGTATTTACTAAAATATGTATGTATAACTATGATATTACTCTCCCTCCTTCTTCTCCCTTCTAGGAACAAGTTTCACTAGGAATGATCATTATGTGTTGATGAAATTCAAGATGCAGAAAATTTTATTTGCCACATAATCTCATATTTATTCTCTTCAAAGATAATCGATAGTCTTTTCAGCCATCAATAGTGTCTCATACCACGGTAAGAAGACTACTATATTATTTGATTATTATTGAGGCTTCTATAACTTCTTTCAAATAAAACATATGAAACATTGTCCAAAGTTTTTTCTACTTCTAATAAAATCACTAAATATTGAGAGTCTCTTTTAAGGTCAT